ATAGTAATATCCTGAACTGTAGTCTTGTCATCGTTCGAGTGACGACCAGTTTGTGACTGCATCGTCATTGCAGGAGTTGGCTTGTTAAGTAAACAATATGCAACCATTCAATATTGTATTGACAAATAAAATATTAGTCATGTAATGCGTCATACGTAATTTTAATTAATTAATATTAATTATAATTTAAGGTTTATACAACAATCAGATTAAAATTGGTAAATTTGTAACGTTCGTGTGACGTATTGTAAACAATACTTTGCATAGCAGTCCGCATAATGATTGCCTGTTTAAGCAGCGTAAATCCAAAAAGCGACCCGGTGAAATTGCTAAATTTGGATTTGATTTTTAAATCTTTGACGTGACTTGGTTCTTTAACGATTTTGTGTGTATCAAGTGGTTTTTTTATTCAAATTCTATACGCGTATAAAAAAGATTTGTGTATATATTTATATTTTATATATGTTGTCAATATACATAACAAAGAAAAAGTAAAATAAATCGAAATAATTAGTCAAAGACTCTGTCAATAACTGTTTTTACGTCCCCCCAGATTGTCCTTCTCATTACCAATAATATTTTTTACCGAAATATTATTTATCACACGTAAATCAATTAATTATTCAACAAAGACCTCTCTTGCACGGGTTTCCTTATTCATCGCAAGCTTTTCTTTTTCCTCCATTTCAATATACAATTTGTGAATCTTTTGATATAACGCATAAATCAAAGCAGCATGCTTCTTTCTAATATCTGCATCCAATTGCCTTTCATGGCTGCCCTTCTTCTCGTCTTCCAAATCCAATTTCGCAATCTTTGAACTCAAAGCATCGATGTCATTATTCTTCGTATCACCCTTACCATCAACTTTGGCAACGTTAACAACCTTGACGTTTGTAACTCCACGACTTTTAGGTGTTGGCGTAACACCTTCCTTTGCTTTCGTTTGAGATCCCGGGTTGGGTTTTTGCTCTAGTATCATGTTAGTAATGTAGTGTTGCACATGAGCATCTGTAGCGACCGTTGGGTTTGGCATTTTCATAATTCGGATTGTTTCAGAGCCCGAAACGGCCGTAGCGGTACTGTCGAATAGGTCAATGTTTGTCATTGTCGGATATAACGAATTAAAGTTTGGTTCATCAAGTCCCTGTGGCGCATACTCGTGGGTCTCTTCAGGTGGGCTCATCAGACCACCCGCCAAATATGCCTTGTTAACATTAAGATCATTTGGATTGACCGTTACATCATTTAAATGAGTGCTTGGCACAATCGGTGTCTCCTCATCATCTCTTTCGTGTAAACTCTCTGGCGTATAAACGGCATCACTCGCGTATCCCAACGTAGGATAAATGACCGAATCTGAAGGTAACATGTCACTACCCAAAGTTGATAGTCCCACATCGAAACCAGTTGAATCGGGTGTAGCCGCATTAGATAATCCTCCTGTGATGCCAGCATCGTCGATATACGGCAAAACACCCCCAGATAATTGTACAAAAAAGGTTTCCATGTTTTGGAGATCGGATCTGGTGAACGAATCCAACGCTGTAGAATCGAGATCAGAAACGTTTATATACGATTCCAACGCGTCAAGTCTATCAGCCATCGCTATAGAAGTGAGGAAGGGAAATTTACAAATTCGGTTATTAAATGAAGAGACAAAGAAAAGTCGGTTACAAATAAAATGACATGGTCGATTGGAGAGCAGAAATAGAACGCGGACGAGGGATGGTTTTGTCAAAGTGTCAAAACTTTATATAAATCAATTGCCAGATTCAACGAAACTATTTAAATAAAGCGCACAATTAAAAAAAATAATAATAAAATGACGCTTGTTAATATTTAGTGCTTGTGGCTGAAATTGACGAAGTTACACTAACTAATCTTGTGATCGTTTTTTTGCGCACCACTGTATAGTCGCGCATGGGTCAAATTTTCCCACCAAATATCAGTTTTTTACTGCAACTGGAATATCGACAAATGAGCCAAGTAAATGACGAATACGCTGTCTCGGAACGAACACATTCATATCGTCGTAGGTCCTTCTCTGACCGCGATGAGCGCAAGAACCATACTTCGCGTCATCACCACCATTCGCCGCCTCCACCTCATACACACCATCAGCCTGTGATGAAATTTAATGCCGATTTTTGGAAGCAGGTTGGTAAACAAGAGGGAGTTGGCGAAGAGGAAGGGAAGAGTAGTGTAACAGAATTGTGCCGTTGCAATTGTTATTTGAGAGATAATCTATGCATGTAATTGAACTGTGTTGTACATGTTCTTTTTTATCATCAAAGGATTTCAAGCGGAATGTTATGAAAGCTCTGTTCAAAGAAGAACGTTTCAAAGAATTTCAGAAACGACGATGCATGGACCAAGTAATGGATGTCGATGATGATGATGACGAGTGGCTAGAACAGCAACAGGTGAGAATTCCTTCCTATCACTATTTATGCGCAAACATTTAAAAAAAGATACATTTCGATGGATATTACACACATTATTCCATTCTTTAGTCTACAATTTTACATTAGTCTTGATGTGCATATATGTTTCATGTATTATTCAGATCGTTCAGCTTCAGGTCGGATTTTCCCCATCGACGGTAATAATTAAATAGGACGTGAACGGGATGATACGATTTGAAATTCTTCTTGTATGTCTTGCGATTTTTATATTGAATTTTTCTTTTACATTATATACGTTTTTTATCCTTATTGTTTTATATGTAAATACAAACACACACACACAAACCACGCACACATGATGTATGCACATCATTTCTTCGAATATACATCAATCTCAAATTTCCTCCATTCTCTTCTATCCTCACCTTCCCGTCTCTCACCCTATTTGCTTTCTTTAACCCTCTCACCTCACTTTATCTTCACTCCCCTCTTGCAATCGTCCTCTTCTCGCTTTACGACATATTTTCTTGACCTATCATCACAACAGTTAATTCATAACATAGTACAAAACCAATGGCAATCGGCTTCGGTTGGGATGTATCCAACAAACATTCCTAATGAACTTGACGTACAGCAGCAACAATTAATACTACAACAGCAGGCAGCTTACGTGGAGCACCTGCCAACAGAGATTGCACAGGCAGTAGTTCAGAAGAAGTTGCCACCGGAATTTTATACCTACCGACAGGACAATTCGCAACAGATTATTTGATGGAAATTTTTTAAGGCGGTGAGTAGGAAGGAAATGATAGGTGGCGATACATATTTATGGAAGGCACTGGAATTAGTAATTTGTATATTGATGTGTTTTAGTTTCTTGTGTTAACTCTTTCATATACATATGTAAATAAACATCAATGTTTCGAAATGGAAATGCTTGATTTGAGTTATTTTGAACTATTGCATTGCACGTGTTTAAGGTGCTACTAACAAAGTCATTGTCAACTCGCTTAACATGCTCAAACGATTTATGATAATGCGAATGCGGTAAAGAATTGGTTTTCCGCACAACTACCAAACAATCCTTTTACACACTCAACCAAGCTTACAAAGCTTTCTAGTTGCCTCAAGATACTACTTTACGGCCACAGAACCTTCAGCCAATTCGGCATCATGATATCAGGAACTACTTCACTACCATTTGACAAGTGAGGTATATGCTCCTTGGTAATCTTTTGGTCCGTTGTCAAACGGGCTTCCCGTTGTGTTTTCCGACAGCGTATTAACGTGAACGCCGCGTATTGATTCTATGTGAATTGTGCTCTCCATACTTTTTGATTATTAATATAATAATGTATTAAGTGAGTTTTTCTGGCCGCAGGCTAAAATAGAGGCTATCATTAACATCACACAGAAATTTTCATCAACTGATTATAGTATTTATTCGCTAATGGTTAAGTGAAATAGTGTAATGACGACACGAAGACGTTCAGAGTCGATTACGGTCTTTCTACATTTCAACAATAAGTTGTTAATATTATGTTATTTAACTTGACGATGTCGATGGTTACCGAACGAATCTATGTCTACGATACGAGGAAACGGCTCGCCGGAGTTATCGAAGAAGTAACATTAAAATCTCTCGATCTGTGAACAATAATGTGATTGAGCCGCAGGATTAAAATCTATTGAACAATACTGCAATCTCTCTATTTGTGAACAAGTTACTATATTTCAATCTTCCCATATACTGTATAAACTCTCCGCGTTTCCCATTAACCGGCCGAGATCGCGCCACCACCTATTGAGCAACCCATTTTTCGGTTCTGTCTTGTGCAGGGTGAACCAACAGAGAATTGATATTGGAAAGGGCAAAACAGTTAGCCACCTGCGAAAATTGATGTGGGAGGAGAGGCAATATGCATTCAGCAATGTCAGATGCAGCAAAATTGACACACTGGACTGTTTCTATACCAGTTACAATAAAAAATTACAAAATAATAAAATAACTGCGCACATGCTATGAATGAGTTGACGAATAGAACATAACATATTCCATAAAATATTAATAAATTGGAAAGTCTTAAAGCTAGACAAATAAATTTATCTTTAACGTTTATGTAAATTTAGTCTAAACGCACTATTATAAAAATAAGTTACAAACATGGAAATCAAATGTCGAAAATGTGGTAAAGTTATAAACTTAGAAGAACATAAAGTTTTGGCTGAATAATCTCATAAAATATGTAGTATTACCTTTTGTTATAAAGAAAAAAATAAAGAGTGCCGAGATGTCGGCGAATGTTGTCTCTTAACTCAATCTTGGGAGATTTGGTAGCCCGGATGCATTCGTGCAAGTAAGTATACACGGGCGTGTTTTTTTGTATTTCCGTGTTTTTTGTATGTTTTTTTTAGTGTGGAGATCATAGGTTTTCCCTGTGGCGGTCGCACATGGGCGTGTTTTCTACTAGGCATGCGAGACGTTGTCAAAGCACTTCTCTATGTCCATATTTAACTTCAGTCTACACGCATTATTAGTTACGAACAGAACAATTTTACATTGTACGTGTAAAATTTATTTTTACATAATAATAAATTTTATTTTTAGGATATTGACCGTTAATCGTGTAGTGACATGGAAAAGTTGGCGACCAGTGCATCAGTAACATTCGTTTTTTTACTAATAGATACAATCCACTTTCTGCAAGACTAATTTATAACATAACTTAGCGGATTACACCTTGGATTGAAATTTTTTCATGTAAATGTAAATAAAAACGGTCCAATTATTATATGTTGTGGGGACAATATAATATATACGTATATACAGTATTATATAAATAACGGCTTCCCAACAAGCATTTTTGCGGCTAATAGCTTCAGTAATTAAATATCAGCTAGTAGATACTTTAAAATTGGAAGACGTTTTCGATGTTTAATTATTGTCAAAAATATTAAAGATTTACGTTATGCAAATTGATGAGATTGAGACAACAAATAAAAAAATGTAAGTTTAAGCTTTGCTATATGTTAAAATATATACAGTCAAATCTCGATATAGTAAAGTCTCCATACAGTAATTTTGCATTTATTATTGAATTTTTTTCGATATAATGAAGTTATACAGTGAAGTTTCGTTATTAGATATAGTCAAGTTTTTTCTCAAATAATATTAGTAAATTGCTTCTCGATATAGTCAAGATTGTATCACTTGATAAATTTTGACCAATCATAATACAACCACGTATTTTGGACGGGGCATTCCAAACCCAAACGCAAAAATATAAGTGAGAGAATTTTAAAAGTGAGAATTTTAACAGCATAAATCTGAAACAGAGCCTATACTGTTTTTACAGTATATAAAATTTTAATAAAGGTAGTTTGCCGCTTTCGTCTATTGCTTACAAAGCAAAAATAATATAAACAGTTCAGAAAAAAAGATTATCTGGTGTCCAAAAAGTTAAAATATGTCGTTTAGAAGAGCGAGTTGTTAGCCAAGTGACAATAACGAGGCAACTGTTCAAAATTGCGCGTAATAAGATAAGATGGTTTATCATATTAATAAGGCTATTACTATTACTATTATTAAGCGACAAAAAACTGGAAATTGTCCTCCGTTAGAAGAGGTGTTGTGATTCAAATAAATCGGATGATGGAACTTTGAAGACAGAGCCGGTAACGTATGCACAAGTCATTACGGTTTGTTGGCGGCATTATAACTTTTTTTGAACGACAACCAGATGGCAATTTACTGTTGATAATTCCTCCGTCCGAGGTTTAGGCAAATTAAAAAAAAAAACGGGTTTCAAGAAACTGCATGTTTGTTCGCAAACATTAAGTATCGCTAATCAATATTCAACAACTTAATGAGCATTGAACAAAACACTAAGTGTCTTCTTCCACCTGTTTTTGAATAAATTATGACATCTTGACCGGATCAGAGGTTAATTGAAAGATATAACACTTGCTACGTTAAACGACTAGTATTAGTACATTTCATATAAATGTTCAGTACAATTGAATTATCAGTAGAATAACGTTTGGGTCATTTATTGTTATACTACTATAAGACTGGCCAGTTGCGCCATAGTGAAAATTTATTATTATGCCATTTATTTATGAATTTTGACATATTAAAATTTTCGATATAGTAATAGTAAATATTCATGTTAATAAATGTCACGGCTGATGGTGAAATCGGCTGATGGTGAAATCCGCGTGATCATGTTTATTAGGTAAAGATAGTAGACTTTTCTGGGATGGTATGTTACTGTTACTAATGGTCTTTTAATTAAACAGTGATATTAATATAACAGACTTTCATGCAACAAAGTCTGTTATATTATATATGCAGTTAAATAAAGAATAGGGTTCATTCAGTTCATCCTTTTGTAAAATGTTTGAATGTTAAAAATAATATGACAAGTATTGAACAAGTTGGTCTTAACATCAGGTTTTATGTCACACATGTTATAATCAAGAGATATTGAAGACCATTATATATATATATATATATGTTGTATATGCAAGTTTAATTAATAGTTGGTATAAACTCAAAATCAATCAATATTATCAATATAACTGACAAAAGCACTGATCTGTTCTATTCATATTGACTTTCACTGTGTACAAATGAAATAAAAGAAATAAGATCTGGTAAGCATTATTATTGAAAATAATTAGAAAGGCCTCCAGAACATGTCACTTTGTAACTGGAGTGATGTAAGCTTATTCTGTGCTTCAGCATAATATCTTGTTTATTCAGGCTTTTGTTAATTCACTATCACACAACAGCTAACATTTATATGAATGCTGCCAGGTCATTGAATGAACAAACAACAGCAGAAACAAGTAAGAGGGCGAGAAGAAATACGTGGTAGAAGAGGCAAAGGCAGAAACGATGAATAATGACTACTCTTTGGGATTTACTTAATAGTAGGACATTCGATTTTTAATGAAAGAAAACGACTATCTATATCATAATCTTTATGTTGAGAATTTCAGTATCACTTTGATCATCAAATAATGATACAGAATGATAAATAAATATTCAGTGACCAGATCGCTAAGCTTAGAAGGAGAATGTGAATGCTGATTTTGGATTGAATTGGGGAGCTTCGCTTAAGATAGTTTCATTCTGACGACAGAAAAATACGTAAACAATGGATGATTCTATTCGATTAAAATTGAATCCCATATTTATAATGTGTATGATTGGTGAGTACATATAACAGTTTCTATAATTCATACATATTATAACACGTAACAGGTCATAGTAATAGATAATAAAATGATTACAATATAGCCTCGCTATATCCCGTTGAACCGGTTCCCTCATTATAACGGACCAATATGCCAGAACAAAATTTTGATTAGTGATTTCTCCCGTTATTACGGAGTTTATAATAATAGATGCCTATAACGGTTACGGATTGATTTGTATTACTTAATATAGTGAGTCCGCAATAGCGGGCCACAAAATCAGCCAAAATCATTCTCCCATTAAAATGTTTTCTCGTCTGATCTTTTTTTTTTTGCGTTAAACACAAGCGTGCCGCAATTTCAGGCACAAAAAAACGTGAAATTTACCAGAAACTTTCAGTACAAATCCACCTAAACAAAAAGATTTTGCTATTGAGTAAAGATATCTGAACAAGCTGTCTCAGATATTGGCGACAACGAAATAAATGCTACAACTACAAGATAATGAGCACCGTCACAACTGAAAAGAGCGTCAGCCAGTATATCCAATGGTTGAAGAAGTTATGGAAA